TCAATAATGATTGTTAATAATTTAAAATTAAAATCTCGCGTGATGCGCGAGATATAAATCTAGTGGTAGATATATATCAAGTGGTTAGTCAGTGCACAACGGTACAAGTTAATTAGCGCGTTAAAATTGGAATTTAGTATGGTGAGCCCAATGCTCTTTTTATTTATAAATACCATTTGTTCATGCAATATATCAAACACAAATCAATTAAAATGACTAAAGAGAAATCAATTATAATCGCTCTTCTTCTATCTTTGCTTCTATGTCGTCTCTCTTCTCAAGTTGGTGTCGCTGAGGCCAAACACCACACACGTTAGTGACTTAGTATAATGATTCGTCCACGCATAATTTCAACTTATGTTCACTTTGTTCAAGTTATAGTTATACACACGTTTGTTTTTAGAAAGAAACGTGCTCTAAGAATGGCCTCGACCTCGAATATTGTTCACGCTTGTGATATTCTTGTCATCTTATGATTTTGGTGGTATAGTTTTGAAAACAAAATATATACATTTTACAAAAAAAAAACCTCTACTTTTTAACCACAAAGGATTATGATATATACCAACACACTTTTATTTGTCACATAATATTGCTTTTTATAGTTAATGTCAGGTATTTGGTTTCTCGAAGCATCGAGGAGTTTCCTGCATGTCCACCCCCAATCCCAAGTAAATCTTTGAGGCAGAATTTTTAAAATCGAATAAAGTTGTTTCGTACATGATCATTATGATTCAAATTTCAGGGGTTTTGTGTTGACCCACAAAATATTAATATATGAAAAATAAGTTCTTTAAAGAACGTAATAAAATGATCTTGTGCATATTGTTACCAGGTCACCCACCGTCACCGAAAATTGGTATCGTGCGCTCTAAATCACCCAAAGGAAAAGGCCCATAAGTGATTAAAGTCTCAAAAAGTAAGAGTTGAAGAAAAGAACCAGCTTTATTGTAGTCCAAATGTTAAAATTTAAAAGTCTAACATGGACTTGCTTATACATTAATGTTAAATAACTACGGTATTCCAAATTTATGTGGATTGAAACGTAAAAATGTGTACGGAGTATTCGGTTTTACCCGCATGACACTATTTTGTAGACTATGTATCTTCGGTTTGGATTTATGAATTGGGTTTATGAACTGTTTGAATTTAGTAAATTGTTGACGAAAAAACGTAAAACAAAATAAATACGTTTCAATAAATGAATATAATGAGGAATATTATTTTCTAAGAAATTGTTATCTGGCGCAATTATTAAAAAAATGAATATTATTTTGAGTATTTAATTAAAAATGAATTACCTTTAAAAGTGATTGCTCAATAGGCCGTTACATACGAAATTATTCGTGATTG